TTCGGCCGTTGTACGCTCCGTCCTTCTTCAGTGATATTTTGAAATTTGGAACAGAACCCTTTATTTCGTCCACTGAAGTAGATTGTTCTAGTTTTTTTTTCGTAACTCGACTCTCTAAGTTTTTGCTCACCTCTTTAGTGGCGAGATATTGAACTCATAACTCTTTCTGTCAAGTCACTGGATTACTTTAACCGACACTTTTATCCACTGAGACATTTGTCCTGAAGAAGACCATTGCGTATAACGGCCGAAACGTCGTGAATATGACAGCGAAGAAGAGGACAACAGTGTAAATAGTTACAATAAGTAAAATAGTGTAAATAGTTACAATAAGTAATCTCAAAAATATAGGCATATATATATATATATATATATATATATATATATATATATATATATAGAGAGAGAGAGAGAGAGAGAGAGAGAGAACAGGTAATCGATTCGTTGGTATATAATCCGGTGGATCCTACTAATATTAATTATTAAGACGGTTTGAAATAGTCTATTCCAATGTTGAAGTAATTTTTGTTTTTTTGCAATATATATATATATATATATATATATATATATATATGAGCAAGTGCGTGAGAGAGAGAGAGAGGGGGTGTGTATATGTGTGTATGAGAGAAAGAGAGAGAGAGAGAGAGAGAGAGTGTGTGTGTGTGTGTGTGAGAGAGAGAGAGAGAGAGAGAGAGAGAGAGTTTGTGTGTAAATGATATGAAGATGGAAAATGAATTAAGTCTCCGAATGGCTGCGTTTTCTAAGAAAATAAAGGTCTTTTCCGGTCAGGAAGAAATTGTGTAAAGTTGAAAACAAAGCCAAACAGACCCCATCCAAAAGCAAAAAACAAAAAAAATAAAAAATAAACAAACAAACAAAACCAAAAAAAAAAACAAACAAATAAAATTAAGACAAAAAACAAACAAAAAAAAAACAAAGAAAAAACCAAACCAAAAATAAATAAATCAAATAATTTTAATATTAACCGCTTTCGTTCTGTCAGGTTGGATACCGATGTCGTCCTCAACTTGTGCGTCCAAATTAGAATCTCTCTCGACCTATTTCTTGTCTAAAGCATTCTCCAATCGATTTTCGGATTTTTTCCTCTGTAGGTATATTGTCCAGGTTTTTAGTTGATTGATTTTGTTTAGCGGCATATCAACACCTCTATGGGTTATTTAATGACGAAATTTTAATATTTTGAACAATTTTATAGCTTCAACTACAAATAAAATGCATTGTCAGTAATTTTACTATAAATATGTATTGTTGGTAATTTTATTTCTGAGATGAGGTATTGTAATTATTTGTATTATTTACATTTTTCGAACTGACCTCATTTTATTGTCATATTCACGACGTTTCGGCCGTTGTACGCTCCGGCCTTCTTCAGGTGATTGAAATTTCAAACTAAACTCTTTATTTCGACCACGGGGGTAGAGTGTTCCAGTTCCACGTGCCATGCCTCTTCTGGACGTCTCAGTTATCTTCCTTTAACTCAACTGTCCAAGTTTTTGTTCATCACTGCAGTAGCCAGGTATTGAACTCACAACTCAAGGACACACGTCCAAGTTGTTGACCATGTTTGCCGAAGTCTCTGAATATGGAATCCAGTGAAGTCCGTAATGTCTTCAATATCAGAGGTTGGCAGCGTAGATTCAGAGAAAGTAGCGGCTGTTAAGTAATTCTTTAAGTCTTCGATATCAAGTTGGCAGTGAAGATATTTTTGGGAGAAAAAACAAAATGGCTGCCTTTATACACGTCGGATTGAATATTTTGAGCTTTTTGATTAGTTAACCCTTCTCTTAGTGGACTATAAAATAGACATGCGCGAAACTTTCAAAAATATTCTTTGAAAAATTGTCTGTATGTGCAGGCATGACAACGTCAACTAAGCCCAGTTCAATGAAATTGTAACGGATGAAACGCGTCACAAAAAACTTTTAAAAAATATGTTATACTATTTCTGTCTCTCTCTTTCTCTCTCTCTCTCTCTATCTCTCTCTCTCTCTCTATATATATATATATATATATATATATATATATTGTTTTGCATATCACCTTGTATTTGTATACTAATTTATTAAGAGTAGCTTAGACGTAGCACAAAGCCGAAGTTGGGATTACTCAGTTGAGATCGAACTCACTACTCAGACGTAATTGTATATATATATATATATATATATATATATATATATATATATATATATATATATATGTATTTGTTGCACACACACGTACAAGCCACGCGCACAATATATGAATATATATATATATATATATATATATATATATATGCGCGTAGGCTTGTACGTGTGTGCCTGTGGTTTCGTGTATGCTTGTGTGCGTATGTCAATACGCTTCTAGTAACTTTGCGTGTTGGATATATGTGCGTATATGCATGGGCGTCTGCACATATACGTGTGTGTTTGTGTGTGCGTCTGTGCGTGCAAGGTTATTGGAAAGAGACCAAAAGTCTGCGTGTTTGATGACAGGGCATTGTTTTTTGTTTGTTTTTTTGGGGGTCGTACCCCCCCATTCTCCACCCCAACAAAAAGAAAGAGTCAAGTTTTTATATGAGTAGATACTCAGTTCGTATTCCCTTCCCCGTCCCCATTTATTCTTTTCCCCTCATCCACGTTCCCGCCACTCCCATTGTATCGTGCCGTAGACTCGGTTTCTTTGGCTTAGCGTGTCATGCCGTGTTTTTCTTTTGTGAGAACTGTAGTAATCATTTCTCATGAATCCAATGCCATTAAATTCTTAGTGACTATTATAGTGTCTCCTTCCCCTTACCTTTTTTTATAATCTCCTCTCTGTCTTTCCTTCTCTTTCTCTCTCTCTCCCCTAACCCACTACTTTCATAATTTTCACATACCGCTCTGTTCCTACTATCTTCATTTTTTCTTCTTCTTTATACACTCCTCCTTTCTCTATTCCATGGTTTCATCTCTTTCATTTCATATTCTTTTATTTTGCTTTCAAGTTACTCGCGCTACTTTCACTTTCACTTTCACTTTCGCCTATTTGATAACTAAATCTTTAATATAATTCTATTCATTCACCTTTTTAAAAAATGTTTCCCACTTATTCACATTGTCTCTACACATTTCTTCACATTCTTTCCGACATTTTTTGTGTTTTTTTTTCTTTTGTTATTAAAAATTCGATTTTATCTCTTATTTATTTATTTTGTTTTATTTTTTTTTTATCAAAATCTTTTAAACAGTGAAATGATCTGGTTCCACTTAAATCTGTCTTCTCCAGACGTTCAGGAAACTGTATTCATAAAAATACAGGTTACACGTCAAGCAGTGTGCCTTTGCATCTGTCAACACGGAGGAGGGGGGGGAGAAGACAGCAACGAAGAAAATGCACGAGGGGAAAACAAACAAGAGAGTGTAGACCAAAAAATGTTTCAGCAGACAGAGGAGAACGCAAAAATATGGAATGTCTAATAATGGAGAAGACGACCATAATAATGCCGATAATGATTCAGAGAAGGTGAAAAAAAAAAAAAAGAATGAAATCAGTGTCAAAATAATTAACGATAATATAAACATAGTAATTCAGATACTTATACTAATATAATTTTAGTTTCTTTAATATGTAAGTACAGTTAATAGTATAATAAATATAACTAGTAATAAAGGCAAGAAGTGAAGTTGTCCTATAGAGAGAGAAGTTACTGCAAATTCTAGTCAAAAATATTACTGATATATATATATATATATATATATATATATATAAAAGGCAGGGTGTGTGTGTGTGTGTGAGTAACGAATGCACGGCTGCAATTTTCGACGGATTTGCACCAAAATTTACATGCACATGCTCCAAGTTAGCGGAAAGGCCAAGACCGACTTTGCATTTCCCAACTCCCATCGATATTGGAAATAATCGATTTTTTCATGCTTCTAGGCAGTTTTCATGTAGTTTGCGGCCATTTTCTACTGGCCAGAGTGAGAGCCTATAGCTGGCTTCCACGAATAGGCAGGAAGATTGTATTGGCCAGCGGGAGAGCCAACAGCTGATTGACATGAACGTTAACTAGCATGCTTTGCTTAATTAAACAGAACTAATTACATTTACCGGCCTGACTTCGAGAAACATCGTAGAAAATATGCATTCTCCTACAGGAATCGAACCCTTATCCCGTAAGGGAACCCTCATATAGCCTGACGTGTTGTTAACCATTCAGCTACAGAGAACTTTCGGGTTAGCAATATTCAAATTATTGCGTATAAACACACATTCGTGTAAGTTGTATCCATAAAAATAACGTGTAAACGAAATACATTAAAATAGTCGTCGGATTTAATCCATTTAATTTAATATATATATATATATATATATATATATATATATATATATATATATATATGAAAGAAATTTTGAAAAAAACAAACAAAATCCTTAAATGTAGTTAAATGAAAAAATGTCGACGTCTGACGTTTCGGTTTATTAAAATATTTTCATAACAAAATTCATCAGGATTTACAATTCAGTATAATATCCATCTCACGCACGGTGAATACTAGACCTGGTTTCTTTAATAAAACACCTTTTTTTATTCGAGATTGATGCTCGACAAGATACACATAAGAATTTTAGAAAATAATCCTTTTTTTCATTTTCTTTTTCATTTCAAAATAATCACAAACTTTTAGGAATATTGTTATGAAAGCGTCGCCCATGTGACGACAGCGTGACCATGTTAGAAAACGGAAGAATTGATCATTTTAAAAATGTTCAGTTATCTGTTCTGAATAAGACTTGTGTTTTTATGTCCATCGTATTTGGTCATATTGAACTGAATTGTATTTTGATGAATATTGTCTTGAAAAAGGTTTAATAAACCGAAACGTCAGACGTCGACATTTCTTTCATTTAACTACATTTAAGGATTTTTGTTTGTTTTTTCAAAATTTTTCATTCTGTCGGATTTATATCCATTTACACTTGCTTATATATATATATATATATATATATATATATATATATATATATATATATATATATATATATATATATATATATTAAGCAGCAATCCTTCTTTTATACAGTTTATATTGAAGATGAAGGTAGTGGAGCTAAGCTTTTAATTATGTTTTACTTGTAAGCGTAGAAGAAATTTGTTTTTAGACCCACACTCTATAAGAATTGTCCGAATGATCTTTGATAATGGCTAATCAATAAGCCGAAATCGTTTGGTTCTAAATTTAATAGAAAGCATAATAGCATTGCGTTTTTATTCACCTCCAAGTGAAACCTATATATACGTTCGATCTCTCTCTCTCTCATCTCTCTCTATATATATATATATATATATATATATATATGTGTGTCATATTAAAAAGAATAGACATTTTAAGTCTATTAAATGTATTGATTATTCTTTCTGATATTTTGAAATATCTTTCGCACCTGTTACGATTGTAAAGGCAAAATAGATGTAATAGGTTCAACCTATCGACTAATTGCCTTTTTTTTAAATAAAGACTAAAGCTTGTATAAAATACAAATATTGTTTATTTTTTTTTATATCTACAGAAGACACATTTTCGAAAAGTACGAGACCTGATCTAAAAATACCTGAACTGGTGTTATAAAAAGAAAACACCAACACATATCAATGTTGCATTTAATCTCCTTCGAATTAGCCCCCCTTCTGAAGCCACACCCTTTATTTCCATTGATAGAAGTATTCCTGGAACGCCTTTAGCGGGAGAGCGAACAGAAGTACCGTCGAATTTTCGGGAATTTCCCCACCGTTCCTTTCAAGTCAGATTTGATTTTTGAAGGGGAAAAATTGCAGGAAGGGAGATCAAGGGGATATGGTGGTTGTCGGATCTGTGGAATGTCGTGCATGGCCAAAAACTGTTACACAAGTTATGGTCACTATGGAACGACCACACTCTACACACCTTCCAAGCACTGCCATAAACAACGGAAGTGAACGAGAACCTTAGTGTGCGTGCGCCACAGAGTTCAAAATCAGCCCGTGTCCAGCAACTTTACTCTGCGTACTTTAGCTTTGTTATCAAAATAACAGTCCCGATACTTCTTTTTTTTTTTTTTATCAAACCTCGTATTTCGCATATTAGAAAGATGATCAATACATTTAATAGACGTAAAATGTCCTTTTTATTAAGAAATGTTTATAAGAATTGTAACAGCTTGGACTGAGGAATCGGAGAGCTTACTTCGAATTCCAGTCGAATCCACTACATTCACTTACGTGCTAATACCATTGGGAAAGGTATGAATATTCTTCTTATCCCTCTAGATATGGGTAAATAGCATGACTGACTAGGTTCTATAGCCTTGGGTGGCAACTCTGAATTCAAAACCTACAGAAGGTTGTTTGTGGACCCTCTGGCACGTAGTGCACCAGATCTCTTTATTCGGCCCTTCAAAAAGTGTGGATAGTCCCGCACGAAACCTTCACCAATATAATCACATGTGCTGGTGTCTGGCTGCTTGACCCTCATACGTTGAATGCGACAGGAGAGTCGAAAAAATATATATATATATATATATATATATATATATATATATATAAGGAGAGAGAAAACATCGAGAAAGGAAGATAAAGAGAGATGAGTGCGTGTGTGTGTATGTGCGGACTGACGACTTTTTTTACAGTGAGGTTTGCTTTGTACGAGCCTCGAGAGCCACTCGAGATAGAGGGTTACAGTGTAAGAGACACAGTTTAAGCGGATAAGTGAGCAAGATAACGGTTAATCGTAGACTGGAACGGGTTAAGATTATAGTGATCGTGAAAACATCATCTTGGGAGTCGGTTCCACAGAGCAGAGGTTAGCGGGAAGAGGCTGAAGAGACAACGTTTGGAAGAGATCGAATAGCAAATTTACACAAGCAACATTTGCAGGCGGATCGGAATCCCCATGGTATAATACCGGCTAGACACCAGCATCAGTTTACGATTAATGTGTGGGCTGGAATTCTAGGTGGCAGTCTGGTAGATCCACATGTTCTCCCAGCACGTCTTACAGGAGTTGACTACAGGGTTTTTATTTCGAACACACTTCCAGACATGCTAGTGGATGTACCCCTGCTAATACGAAGACGGATGTGATTCATGCATAATCGGGCTCTAACCCATTTTAGTCACATTTTTCGCGATGCACTGGCTGATATCTCTGATGAAAGATGGATATGGAAGAGAGGGCCTTTTTCAGGGTCTTCATATTGCCCCGACCTCAATCTTTTGGATTTTTATCTGTGGGGCCATCTAAAACAATTGGTGTTGGCAGCAGACATTAATAATGCAGAGACGCTTAATCAACGTGTCATGGGGGTCTGCAAAACCATTCGACACCAAGTGTGAGTATTTGAAAGGGTCTGCCAGTCAATGGTCCGACGGGTGCATGCGTGTATAGAAGCAAACGGGTGATGTTATGGATATTTGTTACGAGCTGCTGTGTTGAGGTACAAAGATGAATTTTTGAACATGTGCTTATATGGATATTTTATCTTGTTTTTACGGTGTGGAACCTAATTCAATGTTTGTTAAAGTATTCTGATACACCCTCTATATGTCGTTTACTTATTTTTATTTATATATATCTATGTATATCTTTTTCGGAAGGCTTTTTTTTTTCTCACTATAAAAACATCTACCCAGATAAAATAAATATACCCGTTTCGCGGCTCTTGGAAAAAAAATATCTCCCCATCACCACCCCTTCAACGGTGTCTTATTTTCTTTCATTTTTTTTTTTCCGAACCTTTTCTAGAGATAATCCAAGCTGAACGTGCCGGTCCGAAAAGTGCACTGAAAATACAGCTTAAAAAAAAATGTCGCACGACACTGACGCTACCATAGTGACGCATGCGTACTGAATCGAAAAACAGGAAAATAAGCACTTATACCTAAATTGCTGGAAAGGTCGAAGTTCGAACTTGATTTTGTTTGCATGTCAGGTTCTTTTTTTTTATTTTTATAATTACATATATATTTTTTATGTGATTATAGATTTCTTTTTTTTTTTTTGCTTAAGAATTTGTCAGGCTCATTACTGCTTGACTACATATAATGACGGCAGGTGGCGCTTCAAGGGCTTCACTAAAGCATTATAGAATTCTCTCTTACAGATCGGCTGGTTAAAATCTTACGGCCAAACAACGAGAATAATAAACGTGAAGAGTTCCTTGTAAGTATCTGCAGTTTTAGCTATATGAAGAAAAAGAAAGAAAAACAATGGAAGAAATAGTAAAGAAGAGGGAAATAAACAGAGAAAGAAAAAAGAAGGACAAAAGCAGAAGGAAATAAAAGAGAAAAAACACAAGAAAAATAAAAGCCAATAAAGAAATAAAATAAACGTTGCAAATTACACAATAGAATCTACACCTTAAAAAAATCTAATCAATTAACGAATCGTAGTCATGAACTGATACAACTTATACTATAAATTAATAAAATAACAGAATAACCAGAGACAGAAGAGAAA